AAAAAATAATTAAAATAAAAAAGAGGCGGTTCAAGCCAAACAAGCGGTCTTTGTATATACCGCCAGCTAAACAGTTGCCAGCAGTATTAGTGGAAGTCTGGGGAATCTGAGGTAAGTCATTATGATTGTCTTAACCGCGTATGCTTATATAATAGTTAAGAAGCGATATTTTCGCGCTCATATTTGCAGAAACGCATGCGTACCAATGTACATGCTTATATGTGTATATTTGGTATTGCAGGCATATGAAAGCAGCTATCAATGTCCACATGTATCTGGCAGTTGATATATGTATGAGATTGTCAGATTACTAAATATCCGCATATTGATAAATACAGGTCGCTAGCGGAGAACCTGCGAAAGGACCTCCAGGAGTGGGTGGAAGAACCCCTGCAGCCAGGTTTAGTACCATCTGTCCGTCGCTGTACACACACCAGTAAACAACTATACACACAACGCATCAGATATACCTGTCCTCCCTTTTACACCAACAACATGCAAACCGGCGAACAACACACACACACACAGCTACATAGGTGACGTGTCGGCCGGAAGCCCACTTACTCAAAATCTCAAAAGCGCTACCAGTGTCGCCTCCTGACCAGCGCCACAATAGAAACCGGAGCAGTAGATCAGCTGATCCATACACATAGCCCAGAGCGGGTCAATAACTTCTTTACATACGCGGGAGCGAATATATGTATGTACTTTTGCATAGTACAATGCATATCCACTGAGGAGCAAAACCGGAACAGTAATACATAATGTGAATTTTCTTGCGATATATTCGCAATATATGAAGACTTTTTTGTAATCTAGTTTCGGAATTCACATTTCCAATGTTTATTTCATCAGAAGGCCATAAAAACAATAATTAATACAAGCAGATAAAGAAGAAAATTGCAAAAAAACGTAGCAACTAGATTGTTCCAGTTTTGCACCCGACAGAAAATTGTACCATTTGCTTGACTTTTAATAAATTGGCCATAACCAATTTCAATATTTTATCTTTTATGGTCATCTTGGGATACTTTCGCACAGGTTTTAGACGAAATCTGTTGAGAACGCGCACCGGTTTTCCTCAACACCATGTCCAAGGTCTTGCATGCGATTGGGCGAATTTTCGCAATTGAACAATGGCATTATCAAACAATTCCATACGTTTTCTGTTGAATCAATTCTAAGCTTTACGCAGGTCACTCCACGATTATAAAAACTTTGGCGCGTATTCATAGTCCAGCAACTAAGTCGAAACTAACAAAGTTGCAACTTAAATTTAAGTACCAACTTAAAATTTACCTCTATTCATAGTCGCATTTCAGACTTCTACTAAGTAGTTTCGACTTAGTTTACGATATAGCAAAACGAGTGTCAAAATGTATCGATTTTTCTTTACGATATTTTGGAAAAATTACATTTTTATTAAATAACGTCAAGTTTGATCATCCGTTTATGTAATTTTTATATTCAAAGCATGATTATGCAAAAGAATAAGGTGTCATTTTCTTGTTAATTGTGTGAAATAGCCAGAACAACCGCAGTGATGTGAAGTCGATGTTTATCGAAGCATGCTGTGAAACATAAAAATAGTAGATATCTAAATGTTATGCATAAATTTACTTTAAAAGAACTAGCGTGAAACTGACTTATTATTTGAGAATTTATCTAAATTATTCCAATTATAAAATTGTGATGTAGCTTTATTCAAATTGTAATACGCATTTGGCCCCAGTTTTGGAGGATATTTCTGATCATTGTCCTGTTAAAATTGATAAAAGCCTGCGAAAAATATCCTCATAAATTGCCAAATTCTTTGAAAATGCTCATTTGTTGTCACTTTTCTTTTTACCATCGATTTTACCGCAGTTCTTACTCCCTTAGGCATAACACGGCCCTACATGATAAAATGTACACATACAAACTTAATTGTTTAAATATTTTGGGACGTTAGGCGTATCCCTGATGCAGGTCCACAGCACTTGAACCAATATTCCGACTTAAGACGTTTCATTTTATCC